TAATCATCAACATACGTTCTTTTATCACAAAACACTAAATTATAATACCAACTTACTAGAAATCATCGTTCAGATTTGGTAACTAGAAACAACGTAACGACTTTGTTATTGAATAGAGTTTCAAAAATTATCGTTATAAAAGTCGTTGGTTGAACTGTCGTTAGCTTAACGATGTCGTTCATAAACGATAAATTACTGAATAGGGCCCTAAGTCACTCGAAATCCACTTTTATAACCACTAGTTGTTATAGATTTTACTTTAGAGAATTCCGATTTTTTCAAAGTGGTAACATAACGACTGACCTTGGTCTGAGCCACTTGCTAGCTAGCGACTGCATGATACAGAATAGACTACTTATTAGGGCCCTATTCAGTAATTTATCGTTTATGGACGACATCGTTAAGCTAACGACAGTTCAACCAACGACTTTTATAACGATAATTTTTGAAACTCTATTCAATAACAAAGTCGTACGTTGTTTCTACCCAGACAACACACCAAATCCCAGAGATATCCACAGAATATATTTTGTGGATATCCAATATATCCACAGGATATCAGAAATATTCCGTGGAACTAATATAGATATCCAAATGTCCGTCTATATCCAGAATATAGAAGATATCCTATGGATATTCAGCAAAATATCTAATGAGTATCTCCAGACAATACAAGAAATCCCAGATATATCCATAGAATATATTTTGTGGATATCCAACCAAATGTCCGTCTATATCCCAGGATATAGAAATTCAGATAAATATTTTATAATTATTTTTAGTAGAGGTTCATAAGTAACCAATGGTTATTGAATAACGTCGAAAGAAAATAGAGGTAAAAAATATTCCCAACAATCTGCCTTTGATTTTGCCTACTAAGGAGAAAATCATCCTTATTAGGAATCTTCAGCAATAAATGGAACTTCTCGACTTCAGTCTCTAATGAAGTCTGTTTGTGAAACAATGTCGATCAAACTCAATTACGGCGGGTTAAGCATGAGTAGATACGAAAGTGGTATCGCCATCTATACTTAGGAAGCAAAATCAAAAATTACATCTAGTAGATATCCACGATGGTTTGCGTCCGCGCTTAGACTTTGATATATTTATATTTATAGTGGATGTCCATGGGATATTGAATACACCTTAAAAAAATTAATTTTAAATATCTCAACGGTACTATTAGCCACAATGGCGAGTACAATGGCGTAATTTTTTAATAATTTGCTATATAATTACAATTATTTATGGACATTTGCATGTCTATAAATTACATTTCATGGATATAAAATAGATATCCACCATGGACTGGACATTCAGTGGATATTGGGATGTTCAGTAGATATCCAAAGGATTTGGTGTGCTGTCTGGGTAGTTACCAAATCTGAACGATGATTTCTAGTAAGTTGGTATTATAATTTAGTGTTTTGTGAGAAAAGAACGTATGTTGATGATTATACCGGGTGTTTAAATTAAAGTTTCACAGTTAAATATCGCCAAGAATATGCATTTTATAAAAAAAAGTACCAGACAAAAGTTTTATAGTTTTTTAGGGGAAACATTTTGGCTAAATTAATTTTTTTATAGCTGACCATAATATGGCCATATCGAGGTGGATTTTTTTTTCAAATTGGAACCCTATTTTTTTACATAGGTATTCTTAGAGTTCATAAAAAAATAGGAAACTTCTAAAGGAAACATTTTTTTTATTGGATTTCTACTTATTGAGTAATACCTACTTGAAAATTTTGCTGCGCGAAAAAAAGTTGGCCATATTATGGTTTGCTATAAAAAAAACAATTTTAGCCAAAATGTTTTCCCCAAAAAACTATAAAACTTTGTTTTTTTTTTATAAAAGGCGGTATTTAACTGTAACCCTTTAATTTGAACACCCGGTATATTTGACATTTTTTTGGAACGTAAAATAAAAATTCTATCAGTGATATATTCATTTTTTTCAGAATATATTAATTATTGTTCTAACCTACAACACGATGAGGGGGTCGATTCTCGATTCGTAGGAATTCTGTTTCTCGCGGGCCATTTTTGCTGGTCGTATTGTATGTAGGGTTTATTTAAATGAGTATGGATATATTAAAAAAAAACGAGAATTATTCCAGAAGAATACAAAAAAACAACTCGAGAAGAGTACAAGTTGTATTTATTGGATTTAAAAGAGAAGCCAAATTTGATATCCTTTTTCCTGATTATCTTTTCTGTTTATGTCATCGGCTTCGACAACTCAAGCCATTAGTCTCGTTTCCTGTGTAGGTTACGGAGAAGTATTATTTAGGTATAATAGGTACTTCCATAAAATAGGTTTTGTTACTGTTTCGCAGTGCTACTTTAGGAACATCACTGTTTTAATAAGAATCCAATAGTGGTTGAATGGGCAATCCTATAACTTTGAATCAGATTTATTTTTAAAACAATTAAATAAATTAGAAAAAAATTCCTTACAAATTGTACTTGCTGTATTAGGTAGATGGCAATTTAGTTGTAAAATTTGTAAAAAAAGTGCTTTTATTATTTAGAACACATCCTGATTCACAATAAAAAATGAGAGGGAATGCAAAAATCTCTATAACGACACTTCATATTATTAACGACAGCTCTTTAGCTATCGTTGATGAACGACAATTTTACAACCATATTTGTTTATTTTCAACGACAATCGTTGTCTACTGAATAAGAAAAGTCGTCTGTGAACGATTATCGTCTATTAACGACGTCGTTCAGAGTTACTGAATAGGCCCCTAGTTATTGAATAGAGTTTCAAAAATTATCGTTATAAAAGTCGTTGGTTGAACTGTCGTTAGCTTAACGATGTCGTCCATAAACGATAAATTACTGAATAGGGCCCTAGTCTGATAAAGCTTAAGTTATAAATTTTATGTTTCTACAATTTTTTTTTAAAGTTTTTGTTAATTATTTCATTTTTTTCGTGGCTGAACGTTGATACCTCGCCGTCTATATGACTAAATTCAGAAGGATGGACGGTGAGGCATTGATGTGATGCTACATTTTTGCGCATTTAGACCTATCGATTTACATGCATGCCGGACCATAGATAAATTAATATTAAATAATATTTAATATTAATTTATCTATGTGCCGGACAATGCATTTGTGCCGGACAATGCATTTGTGCTGGAGCGGCAGCAATGAACTGGAGTGGGGTAGAATGCTTGTCAGTAGGCTTGAGATGCGACTCTATGGGCGAAGACAGGTTATTTTTCATCTCACTCGGGAGTATTTATAACGACCATTTTCTATTTCACTTTGTTATTGTCTGATCCACCAGCTTGTGGATTGAACAATAACAATGTGAAACAGAAAATGGTTATTATAAATACTCCCGAGTGAGATGAGAAATAAAAATGGCTGCGCCCATCGAGTCGCATCTTGTTCAATTGATACAATGTGCACATTAGCTTTCTACCCCACTCCAGTTCATTGATACTACCAGGCACTTCGTAAATTTGTATGGCTGGTACTGTATACGTGTGTCTTTTTTTCCACCGGTTTGTTGCAACCGTTGTTTCACCGATGCGGCCTTGAACGTTTTGTGTTGGATTCTGGTTGACCGTTGAAATAAATAACAGTTGACATACCGCACCGATGCCAACGTTGCTGCAACAGTTGGATAAAAAGACACACGTTATGCCTCCTACACTAGGCGAGTTCGGATAGTCAGGGGCTGGAGCGGGACAAATTTTAGGGTGCTTTTAAATGACATTTAAGCGTGTTAAACTGTCACTAATCGGACTAAACCCAACGCTAAAAAGGTCGTTTGGAGTTAAAAGTGTTAAAGGAACTTGGCAGACCGAACGCAATGACTACATAAGTTTTTTTATAAGTACATGGAGCACATATAAGGTTCTTTCGTTCGTCCCACTGGTGTAGGAATGAACTACACCAACGTACACCCATACTTTTCGTTTGGCCCGGTGTAAAACGCAATATACCTTCCTGTCGGCGATGTGGTATACACAATGAACTGGAGTGGGGTAGAAAGCCAATGTGCATATTGTATCAATAGAACAAGATGCGACTCTATGGGCGCAGCCATTTTTATTTCTCATCTCACTCGGGAGTATTTATGATAACCATTTTCTGTTTCACATTGTTATTGTTCAATCCACAAGCTGGTGGATCAGACAATAACAAAGTGAAATAGAAAATGGTAGTTATAAATACTCCCGAGTGAGATGAAAAATAACCTATCTTCGCCCATAGAGTCGCATCTCAAGCCTATTGACAAGCATTCTACCCCACTCCAGTTCATTGGGTGTACACAATGAACAGGGGGTCGATTCTCGACTCGTAGGAATATTTTCCTATAGGAATTTTTGACATTTTTATATACATCGAAAATTTATGACATTGTCCTACATATAGGAAAGTGTCATAAATTCCTATAGGAAAAGGTTCCTACAAGTCGAGAATTGACCCCCTGGAGTGGGGTAGAATGCTTGTCAATAGACTTGATGTGCGACTCTATGGGCGAAGATAGGTTATTTTTCATCTCACTCGGGAGTATTTAAAATAACCATTTTCCATTTCACATTGTTATTGTCTGATCCACCAGCTTGTGGATTGAACAATAACAACGTGATACAGAAAATGGGTATTATAAATAGTCCCGAGTGAGATGAACAATAAAAATGGCTGCGCCCATCGAGTCGCACCTTGTTCTAATAGTACAACATGTACATTGGCATTCTACCCCCCCTCCAGTTCATTGGGTGTACACTGGTGGATATTTTCTACACCAGCTATTTAGCAGGTGTGAATTACACTCGACATGTGTATAAGGAATAAGGAGGAAGTAAATTAGGGTAAATAAGGTGGTGTAACTGGTGTAATTTACACTGGTGGACACTACACCAACAGCGAACGAAAGAACCTATAGTATCTAGTGCATTGTGGCCAATTGGCCAACTGACTGAAGAGGCGCGTAACAAAGATTTAAAAAATTACCGCGAACAATATTCCAGGAAATGTTGCCGGGAAAAATCCAATAAAGACATTTTAGATATTAGTGCCTCCCACAGTCACAGAGTATCAAAGTAATGAAGACGATGACGACGATGACTCATTCCTTACTGATTCTGATGACAGCCAATAATTAATATTTAATGTTTTATGTTTTATTTTCAAAATATAGACATATACTATGTATTTTATTCTTTTAATACACGATTCATGGCATCTAAGAATTAATACAAACTTTTAAGGTATTCTGCCCCAGTGTGCGTCGGTAACCCACTGCGATTTGTAATCTGCAACAGAAATTAAATTACTGCTTATACGGCACCAATCAAATCCTAAAACGAACTTTACAAATTAGTTTATACAGATTGGTTTGGGATCCGAAGCAGAGTGTTGACAAACCAATAAAAGGCGCCCATAAATGAATATCGGCCGATCGACATTGGGCTACCAAGACAAAGGAACATATAAAATTATAAAATACTTACAGTTTTTTGAAAGGCTTTTATTTATGAACCGATCATTTAAACATACTTATGCAACGACACTTAATTAGTAGAGAGTTTTAGCAAACATATGCTAACGTTACTTTAGCGATATACTGTATTCTATCTTTTTGAATGTCTTTGAAAAATATCACAATCTAAGTTTAACGTAACGTTAACGAAGCTCTTACGTACATTTGCTAAAACTCTCTAGTAATAAGAATACCGTAAATGTAACCGTTCGAACCATAACAAAAATGTATAGTAAGCTTTTTTGTTTTTTAAAATCGTATTGCATATTTGTACTCAGTGCGTTCTCCAATAAGGCTATGGATGGAGAAAGGATATGTAGATTCGACCGCACATTTATATATTAATAATTTATTGATCAAAGTTCTATCCTCCGGAATTAGGTTTTTAAGTCGAAATTTTTAGTACAGCATAGATATTCAGATAACAATGAAGCTTAATTTTGACTTCTTTTGACATAATTTTACTATGCTCAGAGATTAGAATGATCGGAAGAAGGTATTATACAGGGTGTTTCAGATTTAAACGGACACAGCTTAATTGGAGGTAGAGTACACTTAGCTGAGTTCAAAACACCCCTATACTTAGCCTTTAATCTTACTCGTTTCTGAGATATAGGGTGTTTTATGACTTTTTGCCAAAACTAAAATCGGCCATTTTGTTTGAACGGCTAGAGTTATTTTGATAAAATTTTGTACAAAAGTTACACTCTCTTAGGTTAATGAAAACCATAATTTAATTTAAAAAAATTCCAGGACCGGACTCTCTTTTTTTATATTGCTCTTCTTAGCTAGAATATCACCCTGTATATCGGATTTTAATAAATGTAACTGCACATTTAAATAGTACATGGAATAACAAATGAAATAATGTAATAATATTTAATGGCACCATCTTGATGTTCTTACAATAATTTTTTATAGTTGCGACTACATTATTATAAATCAGTATTTACAAAATTAAAATCAAATATTTTACCCTGTACTTTTAAAACTCTACACAAATTAGGTACCATCTTCATTTATTTTTAACTACTGCATTTTCCAATAAGAAATTGAACATCTACACAGGACCGGGCCCACTTTATTTGATAAAGTAACAGAACAAACTAACAGAAACAAATAATTAATTTAAACTAAAGTAAATTTTCAAAATGAACACCGTGAACGTCAATACACCTCTGCGAACGTTTTAACAGGTTTTTCACTGATTTGTAAATTATTTCCGGTTAATTTCTAATGTTGTTGCATACATTATTATTTTTTTCCAATAACTGTGCTCGGGTATTCATTTCTTCGTTGTACACCTCTAATTTAAGGATTTGGGAAACGATGATTTAATTGGGCTTGGGTATTAAGTGATTTTTTAAAAATTCCACACCAAATATTTAATGTGTGTTCAAGTCGCTGGATAAGTCGAGGCGGTCTTGCCAATTGGCCACCAATATCTCCAGATCTAACACCTCTGGATTATTTTTTATGGGGCTACCTTAAATTAGAGGTGTACAACGAAGAAATGAATACTCGAGCACAGTTATTGGAAAAAATTAACAATGATATGCTGCGTTTGAGAATCCACATCGGATGCATTTTTTACATCTCGAGTGTTTTTTTATTCACATCGGACACATCTGTCCCATTACATTTACCTATACTGAATCACGTGATCAAAGATTTTTTACATCTCAGATGCATCCGATGTGGATTCTCAAACGCGGCATATGTAACAACATTAGAAATAAACCGAAAATAATTGACAAAGCAGTAAAAAACCTGTTAAAACATTCGCAGAGGTGTATTGACGTTCACGTTGTTCATTTTGAAAATCTACTTTAGCTTTAATTAATTATTTGTTTTTGTTAGTTTGTTCTATTACCTTATTAAATAAAGTGAGCCCGGTCCTGTGTAATGGAAAATGCTGTAGTTAAAAAAAAATGAAGATGGTACCTAATAGTAATTTGTGTAGAGTTTTAAAAGTACAGGGTAAAATATTTGATTTTAATTTTGTAAATACTGATTTATAATAATGTAGTCGCCATTATAAAAATTTATTGTGAGAACATCAAGATGGTTGCCATTAAATATTATTACATTATTTCATTTGTTATTCTATGTACTATTTAAATGTGCAGTATCATTTATTAAAATCCGATATACAGGGTGATATTCTAGCTAAGAAGAGCAATATAAAAAAAGAGAGTCCGGTCCTGGATTTTTTAAATTTAAATTATGGTTTTGATTAACCTAAGAGAGTGTAACTTTTTACAAAATTTTGTCAAAATAACTCTCGAAAACGAGTAAGATTAAAGGCTAAGTAAAGGGGTGTTTTGAAGTCAGCAAGTGTACTCTACCTCCCATTGAGCTGTGTCCGTTTAAATCTGAAACACCCTATATATGCATATTATGTACATTTTTCGGCGTTTATTCCGTTTTTTAATATTTAACTCGAATAGAAGCATTTTCATGAAAAAATTTACTGAACTTTTTTTGAAGAACAGACGATTTTCTATCATGTCCTTGTATATGTTTTGCCAAATTTCATATTTACACCGCTAGAGTGCGCAAAAAACAATTGTATACATTTTGCGGTTTTTCGCATTTTACATGAAAACCAGGCACGTCGGTGGAAAATTTCATTAAAGCAAAGTTGTAGAGCAGAAATTTCCTATCGGACCTATGGAACAGATTTTCTGGAAACTCATCGTTTACGCCGCTCTAGCGCATGCGTGGAAAGTAAGTCGTTTTTTCAATAACTTATCATTCAGTTTTTGTCAAAATTGTCCGCTTGGTTAAAAAATGTAGATGCAACATTGTCGATTGTAGAATTTAACTAAACATATCCATTTTCTTTGTTTACGAACAATAGGAAAAATTGAACATCAACTTTCTACCATGCGCTGTACCGGCGGAAACGATGGGTTTCCAAAAAATCTGTTTCATAGCTTCGATAGGAAATTTTCCGCTCTACAAGTTTGCTCTGATAAAATTTTCCATCAAAGTGAATGGTATTCATGTAAAATGCAAAAACTTGTTTGTTCTTCAAAAAAAGTCCTGTAAAACGTTTCGTGAAAACGCATCGATTTTGAATAAAATAGAAAAACAAAGAAAAAACGCCAAAAAATGTATATACCTTCTTCCGACCATTCTCATATCAGCTTAGTGAAACCCTTCATCGTTATCTGGATCTTTACAGTGTACTAAAATTTTTCGTTTTAGGGTCAATTTTTGTCTAATTCCGGTGGATTACATCCATTTCATCATGGACCATGGTTCGTACACGGGGTGGTTGGGGCTGGTCCAGCCCTGTCCTTTATCCTGTCGTACCAAACTATACAGCCAAAACAGCAAATACCTGACAGAAAAATGCACTTGAATAAAGGCCAATACTCAGGATTTAAGAAGAATAACTATTTTTTACGATAGCAAGGTTTTTGTACAGAAGAAGAACCATTATGTCAAATACCCAAATATATTTTTAAAGAAGAAGACCGAAGTAAATAGGAAGGACGTTGTTATTTATTATTATTAGTTTTGGACAAATTGATTTGAACCGTTTTTACTAAAAATAACAATGTCTGATTGGGATACAGTAACAGTTTTAAAGAAAAGAGCTCCTAAAGCTTCTACTATGAAAAGCGAACAAGCAATAAATGCTGCAAGGAGACAAGGTGTTCCTGTCGATACACAATTAAAATGTAAGAAGGGTTTAAAAAGTATGGAAAATATTAAACATATTTTTATTTAGGGGGTGCAGCTAGTAACAAACAGCATGTAGCTACAAAGAACACTGCCAAACTAGACCGAGAAACCGAGGAACTTAAACATGAGACCATCTCACTTGACGTTGGTAAACTGATTCAACAGGGTAGGCAGTCAAAGGGTCTCAGTCAAAAAGATTTAGCTACGAAAATTAATGAAAAACCTCAAGTCATCACAGATTATGAAGCTGGCAGAGGTATTCCAAATAACACAATAATCGGTAAAATTGAGAGAGTAATTGGTATAAAACTTAGAGGAAAAGATCTTGGCAAACCAATGGTGCCCCCAGGAAACAAGAAGTAAGTTGCTTGTCCTGGGGGTTATGTAAGGATCTGATAAACATTTTAAAATGTGGTTTTCTTACCGATACACTTAGCATTTACTGTAAGAACCCTTGCAATCTTACACCCAATGTAGGGTTAACTATTAATGTTAAAACATTTTATAGAAATTAAATCTTTGTGTACTGCTGTATGATTAAAATTAGTTGTTTAATAAAAAATAGTGGTTTAAAGCTATTTTATTAACAATAAAAACTTTATCAATTTTTCTGTGAAAAATTGATAATGAGTACACTACTATTACTGTAAATAAAAACAATTAGATTTACAAGAGGTATTTTGCCCTTTTTGGGCAACAAGTATTTGAGCTAGACAAACTCATCCAACATAAATTAAATTTATGATTTGGTATTTACAGTTTAATATTTTAAACTTGTGTATTAATATTCAGCATTTTATGTGCATTTTTCTCATATGCCATTTTGCTGATTACTAGATTTAGTAAGGAAACATGAAATCATGTTTTCCAATACTTCACCACCTAATTGGATCATAGGTCCATTGTCAATTGAAGTTCCCATCACCACCTTTTAAATTACAAACAAGTAGCTTTTTCTATTTTTTAAGAGTATCACACAATAACCTGTTTTTGAGTGTCTGTTCAATTTTGTGGTACCCAATGACAATACATTTTCATTTTAATGTATTATAAAAATACAGTTTTATTGTTCATGCTCTGTAATTGGACTTGCATAGAGTAGTTTAATAAGTAAATACAATAATTGGGTAAAATATTTTTAGTTATTGTATTCATCTGAGGAGACCATATTAGGTACAACCAGTTGCAACAACATTAAATAAAATAATTTGTGGGCCAAATAAACTTTGCCAGAGATTGAGAATGTGATCCAATGACATGAACTTTAAATTAAGCAGTCTAATAAAATGTTCTTGCAATCATATTTTAGAGAAACAAAGCATCAAAGTGGTAAAGAATCTTATTGATTAGTGTGATAACATTGTTTTCTTCTGTTTATTTACTATATCAAATTAAACATTTGGAGAAACCTGATTATCATAAAAAAAAATTCTGTGATATATTCTACTATCTGTATTATTGTATTTTTTTAGGGTTTTTATATTTTTTGTTGTTCAATGTTTATTATAATTTGTTACCAATCTCTTTTGATAGCTTATTTGCTATGTGTATTTTAGAGTTTAATACTTGTCCAATTTAAAAAAATATATGTTCATAAATAAATAATGTTATAAAAAGATATAAGTAATACACCAAATTTAAAATTGAATTACTAAAGAAGCTTAGAAAATGTTGACAAATTATAATTAAAAAAAAAATAATAGTCATAAATATGAAATTTTAAAAATCAGCTTTAAAATAATCTGTTTAACTAAAAATTAACATTTTACTTTAAATGGTATGTATGTTCTATTTGGTATTTTATATCTTCTCTGCGAGCTATAGTGCCCAAAAATTGGTCGTTCTTCCCATAGTACCAAACTTTAACCATTCTCTCTATAATACGTAAAGGTTAAGTCAGAAAGTTTTTCCAGATATAGCAATCTACAGTCTTGGTCGAAATACTTTTATAAACACTTCACATTACAAAAATTATGTTGACATTAAAAGTTCCACATTTTCTCAAGCAAAGGAAAAATATTTAATCAAATAAAACAGTTAACATGATGTATGCCAGGCTGATTTTTGTAATAGATTCCCTGCTGGCATACGTCTTTTTCTTTTCACATGAAATCCTTTGTAAACATGAAGAATAGACATGTATAACTTTAAATATGAAAAATGTAATGTAGCGTCAATAGCTCTTGCTCATACAGTATTGGCCATCGAACATCTTCCAATATCCATTGGCACAAGTACGTGTGAAAACTACAGAGAGCCCTGCACTAGGGCAAGCAAGAAAGGAACAATACCAGCCCAACGTTTCAACTCGGTCGGTTCATATAATTGGCAAAGTTGACACCATTCCTTTTCCGCTCGCTCCAATGCCAACTCTATGTAGCTTTGACTCTCACTTGTGCATCGGATATTGGAAGACGTTAGGTGGACAACACCGTATATTTAATAATTAATACCTCATGACGTTAAAAATAAAAGTATATTTAATGATAGACGCGCGTCACCGAGGACTCACTCTGACATCTTGGATAATGCCACATTCAAAAATATAGGCAATCTATGATATAGATATTGTTTTATAGCATCTTATAAACAAAAAATTGCATGAAAAGCGTTGATTCTGTTTTTGAAAATGGAGTTTATAAAATCTGTTGAATTTATTTTGGTTCTTCATTAGGATTTTGTAAAGATAAGCAAGGTAAAGGGTTCCCATTAGACCACCACCTAAATCTTTCCTTTATTGAACAGAACTTTTGACCAAAAGTGACTAAGCCTTCAATGGTGCATTTCTTGGAAATACTAATATATATACTAATTGTAATATTTTACAGTTATTGTTAGGAACCAGAAAATCTGTGGTGGCTATTTTTGATATGAGTATTTTGCTAGGTGTACAAAAGAATTTTTATTTACAATAAACAAAATATCAAAACAGTTTTTGATTACATAGAATATTGTTGTAAATATATCAATCTACTCCAAAAATTATGTCTCTTAGGTCTAAAATGACGTAGTTTTTGTTAAAAAATTAATCCAGAAGTTAAGAATGGACATATTATTTACATTTTTGAAAGGACATTTTTTGACATTTTAAACGTGGTTAACTAACTTGTGAATGTTAAATTTTAAAATAGCGTATTGATTTTATGAGATGCTAAATAATTCTCTCCATTAATTGTAAAATAAATCTAAAATGAATAAATTATTCCAAAGACAAGAGACATATTACACTACTTAAACTTTTTTTTTTTTAAATGAATAACATGTTTGACACAAATTGCCTATCATTTACTATAGAAACATGAATTAGGATGTTTGGTTTAACCTGCTGACCTATAGGATTATTGTTTGGGAACTGTTAAGGATATACCAATATAATCAGATTAGTAACTTAATAGAACACTCCTTATCCAACCTAATATCAAACTCTATCTTTTAATAGGTACCCAAGGTAAAAAAACAATGTATTCATAATAATATTTAGTTTTTGGTATGTTAAAAAATTTTAAACATTGACATTTAAATACTTTTATTTTAAACACTTTATTAAAACAAAATACCCTTTTGTTCTGTTATGTAGTTTTTAAATTATACTTATGTTAATTTTATGTACATTTTTTTTTTAATAAACAATATACTCACGATTTTGATTGGTTTCCTTAAATTTTACAGGTTTTTTTTTTGGCTATGTAATATAATCTACAACCTTTTTAATATCCAGCAAGGGATCTTCTTAATAAATAAAAAATCAAATGACCTTTGAAAGAAATGAATAATTGAATGCTTTATTTAAAAAATAATACAAAATATTAATCTTTTCTTAATTCAAAAGTTTCTACTTTAGTTCCATCCTTTGTAATAATATTGATAAGAACACTATCTCCAGTATAGATGTCTCTCTCTGCAGCAGCAATGAATACATCTTTCAATATAGCAAGAGCTTTCTCTTGAGAAAGATCTTCAGATGATGGTTTCACCAGATTTTTTTGTCCAATCTGGTTGTCCAAAAGAGGTTGAAGTAATGCACCTGCAGAGCCACCTGCTCTGTAGGTGGCCTTTTCACAATGCCCAATTGGATCATAGCTATAAACACAACCTTTTCCTTCATTATCCAATCCAACAAGTATATTGGATATATAGTAAGGGAAAAATCTCTTATAATACAGCATGGTGGATAACATCTGTGCACATGCTGTTGTAGACATTTGTTTGTTATGTTCCTGCTGGTACATCTGCATACGAGATTTCAAAATTCGGGTTAAAGTTAAAGTGTCGCACCAACATCCTGCACAACCTAATACAGTTGTATCGGACATAGGAAATAATTTATTTTGGTTTCTTGTGTAAATTGAAAAACCTGAACTGAGACGAGTATCAGCTCCCACAACTACGAAATCATTTCCTGCTATCGCTACAACACTCCTAAAAAAAAAAGAGAAAATATTAGAGAAGAAACAGTGCAGGTTTACTATTTATAATACCATCAGTATTTATGTTGTTGATAAAAATTAAATAAAAGAACTTACCCTCCATTATCAGCATAGGGGTTAATTTGTCGTTGGATTGGAGCTGTAGAATAGTCAGGATAATAAGCATTCATTTCTGTTTGCATCATCATGAATGATAAAATTAAGGTTTATAATATCAACTCTTTAGTAACAATACGTATGAATAAAATGGAAAATAAAAACACAATGATATTGAATATCGAATGACAAGATATTATAAAGATGACAAGCCGAAAATAATTGACTGAAATTAGAAACAAATATCTTCTTCTTTTGTTTCTTGAATTATGGCCTCTAATATGTACAAACCAAAGCAAATAACTTGGTGCCCTGCTTCTACGAACGATAATCAGCGACTTGCCTATAATCAGTGTTGCCACTATACGAGGCAAGAGAGAGGTCCGACACGCCCAACATAGGGCGCGGCCATTTTGAACCCTGTGACACAGTTTACAGCTAAAGAATCAGATCGCTCACTTTGCGTCAACACTTTGGATCTTAATAGTCGTTTTCCTTTGACGTATGGTTCTGGTTATGGTTGACGTTAAATTGACAGTATTTTTGACAGCGGTTCAGATTTTGGTTCATATGGATGACGTCATAACAAAAGCCAATGGAATGAATTAGGCATTCCAAACAAATGAATTACCAGTGGGCAGGTTTGGTATATCTAAGGGTGGCGACATATGGTGTATTCTATCTACTTTACGTAAAATCATGAATAATGGATTACATTTAAATATTTTATGTCAAACACAATAAAAATAATATTTAAAAAACCCATCTATACATTTCTTCATAAATTGGCAGGCTTGGCGAGTACTACTTCGAATAAAAATAGCGTTCAAGTTGCAAGACTATGTCGCTACCCCCTTAAATATACAAGAATTTCCCACTGGCACCTATTGTTTGACAGGTCGTTGGAATGCCTAATTGGGTTATTGGTTCGGTCAGTCATATGTCATTTTGGTGTAAATTTAAATACCACGTGTGACTCATTTTTAAAGTTAGTTCTCAATTTTATTTTTAATTTTTTTGTGTAGTTAGTTATTTGCCAAAGAAAACACTAAAGCTATATGATATAGAAGAAAAAATATTAACTAATATAAAAATAAAATATAAATAAAATAGACACTACCGACAGGGCAATTAACAGACGAAAATAATACTAACTAATTTAAAACTCTTTAAAATAAAATAGAAATAAAACCGACACTACCGACAAAGCATTTAACGAACGATGCAGACCTTTTTCTAGCGATAAACAGAATGATAATCTTCTTTTGAAAAATAGTGGCACATTTTTTGAATCTCATTTCAGTCCAAGACTTAATCTTAATGGTGTTAAAATAAACACACACACACGCCCTTGAAGATTTCATCTCGAATACTAAACATTTCTAGGAAGTTTTGTCGATCACTACATATTTTACTTTTATTAACATTATTGTCTAAGTTCTTTTTTCCTTATTTATATTTATAAGAAAAGTGTCTAGTAAGATCTATTTTCTTAGTTGACCTCGTACGGAACTATTTAGGTTCCGCGGGAAAACTAAATTTAAAAAGTTAGACAATGAGAAGAATACTATTTAAATAGGGATAGAACATACCGCAAATTAGAACCGACTCGCGAGGCTGGTTCAAAAATGTCATTGATCTGGCAACCTAGGGATACGACATGCGTAAGCGAAAAGTGGGACCGGTCCGCCATTACTGTGAGTGCAAATTGTCAAATTTTATAGGTTATATTTTTAGCGTCATTTGTGTAATTAAATTTGAATTTAATTTTTGTTTGAGCAAATTTTGAGTGTTACAAACTTATAAAGTATATAATGCCTTGCTGTGTTATACGTTCCTGCTCTAGCGATAGACGTTTTTGTGAAAAATCGACTGGAATAACGTTTCATAGGTTAGTATCAAAATTATAAATATTATACAGGACAGTATTATGACAGGTTTGTATAAAATGTGTAAAAGTATGCTTTTAAAAATGCAAAAAAAATCATCTATCAACTTTTTCATACGAAATAATATTTATAGATTTCCAAAAAATCCTGAAAAACGTAGCGCGTGAATACAGTTTGTCAAGAAGCATAATTGGGAACCTTCTAAATTCAGCTGTATATGTTCCAAGCATTTTCTTGAGTGCATTAATCGTACGCTATTTCGTTTATCAAATTTATAGGCATTTTATAGTCTTATTTCTATTTAAATATAACCTACATTTGCAGTCCTTCCACCAATTTTATTTATTAGTTCTACAGCTGATTGAAAAGTAGAGCTTCATGTTTTGTGTATGCATGAGTATTGTTTGTTTTATTATAGTTAATTTAAAACAATATTAATATACCTTTTTAATTACCTATAATTTGTTTCAGATTAGTGCGTTTAAAGGAATTGGTGAAAATGAAGCGATTCGCCAGCTTTGGGGATGTGCCAGTAAAAGTGACATCGAAGTTATTCAACGTTTCCAGAATAAAGTATTAAGGAACATCGTCGATGCACCATGGTACTTCCACAATACTGATCTTCATAGGAACCTTAAAGTGGAGACTGTTGAAAATACAATACAAACATTTGCCTCGAGATTATCCAGCTCCTCAACAAGCGACGATTTCCATACCGACAAGTTCCAAAGCACCAAATATTCAGTGCAGTGTTTCGACATATTCGAACACATGGTATACTGTGTTAATATATCTTTTGATATTTAAACTCTTGCAGCTTGGTAACCATGTAGAATTGGATATTTGTTCATAGGACATTTTATGCTTGAAATGAATTCAGGAATATAATATTTAAGTTTGTACAGTGCATATTATGAACACACTGTATATAAGTTCTAATAATAATAAAAATATTTTCTAATGCCTTGGTACGATTCCCCACTCGACCATTCACTGTTGGGTTCTAATAATTAACAGTGCTGTTCCTGAAGTGGCGCTGGGAAACAGTAACAAAGCCTACACAGAACACACATTATTGAGAATTTGAACACAAGCTTGAGACTATTAGGTAATATAAATAAATAAATAAAATAAATAAATAAATTAAAATATACACCTTGGCCATAAATCGAAAAAAAAAAATAACATTAGTCTTTTTTTAATGAGACTAGCAATAAAATCATAACCGTGTCTAGTATTAAAAATAAATATTACTCATAGATATGGATAAGAAAATATTAAAACTTTATACCTTGTACACTTTTATTTAATCACAGCACACATTATTTGCATTTACAATATTTGCTTGACGTTCATATGCCCCAGTCCTGTTTTGTTCACCTTTTCTAGTAGCTTTTTCTGCTAAACTCTAGTCCCTGTTCTACCTCCACCTAGGTAATGAATTATTCAACCATTTAGTCAACAACGGGGTTTTACTTGTTTTACAGTAAGATACTTATCTTTAATGTTCAAGTTTTAGAATTTGAACTTGGATTAGGCCATTTTCGTCAATTTTGTTATTAGAGCTTTTTTAAAAACACTTGGGAAGTACTCTCACAAATTTATTTCTTATTTTGCCTAGTGAAGAAATTGTGTATTAGGAAATATTCTGGTTTTTACCTTAGTGGTCAAGAAAAGCGCTTACAGTGGATACTTTTCCTAACTCGATAAACATTTATTACCTAGATGTTGGCCTCTCTTTATCACCAGCCTATAATTTCAACTCTTTTGCTGTTAACTTTAAATTCATCTGTGACTTTAACTATGATTGAGACTTCAACTTTATCTTCACATTCTTTGTCTGACTTTCAATCATACATGCATGATTATTGTACATAGACCAATTAAATTGGACCGGCACGCTTGTGGTGCATGTTGTGTGTTACTACGGTAGGCCTTTACATAAGTAGCCATAATCTTTGCAGATGGTGAGAAGTCCAGCTCAAACCAACTACCATAATATCGTCATTAGATCTAAAGGTCTCAAGTAAGATCACTTCATATTTTACATTTGTTAGAAGTGCACCTGCACACCGCTGGTTGTGGCTTCGCTGATTTACTGAATGTCTTGCATGAAGATATACACCTTTCAGTCTGAATCTACAAAAGTACCAAGACCAAGTAAGATTAATCCACATTTTGATTTCCTGAATAGTGCATCTACCTACACAGAGATTGCTTATTAGCCATTTTCCGCGAGCCTTGCATTAAGTTTCGTATCTGATTATCGAGCTTTTAGTGTATGAACATTTGTTCTTAATTTCGAGAAAGCTGTTAATTAAAGTAAGGTTAGATTACTTGACATTTGCGACCTTGTACTTTCCGATTAAAGACAGAAAGCATTGGGCTCATAGAAAAACGAAAAACTAAAGATTGAGCTATTTATGTGCCCTAGTGCAAACGTGTGACGATTGATCCAATAAATCGAACTCTGTTTACTTTTGTCGCTTATGTGAACCAAAAATGTATTATTTATTTTTTCTGTGAATGATTTCAACGTTTTAGGGTTAATTTTACCATTGTGTTAAAGTTTAAACTATTAATTGAAGATTAAAATTACATTTTATGTAAAAATGTCATTTTAAACTTCATTAAACCCAATGGTGGAATCGGCCCCAAGTTAGTTATATCATGGTCATTGATTAGTTGCAATTTTGCAAATAATATATTTTCCAGCGCTTAATAGCCACTTGAGTGATAATTAAATCAGTTATATTTTATTTCTTTCATTTACTTTATTCAGCACTTCTCGGCTGAAAACCGGGTATATTTAAGCTTTTAAATTCCCCTTCTTTTATAACCTCGGCCTTCCACCACCTTTTAAGTCAATGTCAATTAAAAGGAAAATAATTTTTTTATAATTCAAATAATGATACTTAACCAGAAATAGTACAATAAAAACTTGTAAATCCGGTTCTGCTCTTCCGCCATTTTAGTGAGTGCAAAAGCCACGCCTACCGGTCCCACTTTTGTATATCAAAAATAATGCATATGACGTATCCTTACGTTGCCTTATCAATGAAAAATGTTAACCAAATGGTTATAAGTGACGTCATTGTTTATGAAAGGAATATGGTTGGTTCTAATTTGGTTAACTAGAACCGGAACCAAACCCCAAAAGAAAATGCATAATGGCTGCGTTCATCCGCGCCATTTCAAGGAGCGCTACAAAAGTAGCGATCACTTACGCTACCTGATCGATCTTTATGCACGGATGAACCATGTTTAAAAGTGACGTTTGATTTTGGTTTATTCATTTTACTTTTGAGTTGAATGTCTCTGGTTGAAGATTTGTTTGTTTATTTTTCAATTGCTAATATGCTAATATAACCCTACTAGTCACCAAGCAAACCGTGGACGTAAGTGCGTAAGACAGATCAGTGATCACCGATCAGACGTAAATAAAATGCGCTACTTTTAATGGCGGCCGCTCCTTGAGCGAAATGTCAAAATACACCGTTCATACGTGCCACTCGAGAGCGCTACCAGATCGATCAGGTAGCATGTGGCGCGGATGAACGCAGCCATTGACTCAGCCTAACATAAGTGACAGTTTTGACAATTGACAGTTAAGTTAACCTAAAATTTATTTTCCTGAAATTTATAATTATAATACATTTCTAAATATCTCAGCGGCGGCAGTCCTCCTACCTCCTAGCAGTAGCAAATTATAACTTATAACCAGCTTATAACCCTCCTATCTACTATCTAATTAACACATATTTTACTTTAGGCGTGAAAAACTGGCTCTAAGCAATTTGTATATTTTTATTATTGAATTACTTTACAAACACCGAACTCTGCAACCTGCCACCCAGTGCAAGAAACAAACCTTAAATAATAATTAAGGGTTTTTTCAGAATAGGATCATGGGAAAAGTAAAGTCATTTAAATATAAGTTGCCTACAACAAAATTAGCCAAAGTAAGTGTATTTTTGTTTTACCTGACAGTGTTTTGTCGATTTTTACTAGAAAATAGGATATAAAATATTTCTATTAGAAAATAGGATATAAATTGTCTTCAATATTTTAGGTAATGGCTACTACTGGAAAGATTACTAAAACAAAACAAAAACTTCAAAAACCACAAAACATAAGCAAATCATTTAAAAATAAAACAAATGAAGATATGGCATTAAAATTTGTGGATATAAATTCTTTGAAAAAAGATATTTCAAATTTAGGAAATTTAAAAAAGAATAATTCATTCAAATCAATTAAATCTCAAAAAGCAGGTAATAAAACAATTAAGAAAAAGGAAAAACTGAACATAAAGCGTTCATTGTTAAAGAAAAAAATAGATACTATGAAAGAGTTAAAAGAAGAAGAAAAAGTCAGACAAAAAAGGAAAAATATGTCTGTAATAGGTGATACAAATCCATTACATGATTCTCTGCCTTCTCTAGAATCTTTATTAGAAAATAAAAAGAAAGTAAATTGCAGATTGTCACAAAGAAGCACAAAGAAAAGAGGCATTGATAAAGCTAAGCAGAGAAAGAAAAAAAATATTAATGATATAGATCTTTTTAAGAGAGCTATAAATGATGATCTATTCAAGATAAACCCTTTTGAAATAATATCCAATCACATTCAAACTGTAGTTGAACAAGAACGAAATAAAGCCATTTAACATTTTATAATTTTGTTTTTGGTTACCTAATGGGGAAAAAATAAAAAATACACTAGAAATGACTAATATAATTTATTGTATAAAACTAATGTTAATGTTTATTTTGAAAAATTTCAACTGAAAGCTTATTTTTTTATGGGTTGGTTTTGATAATAACACATTAACTGCTATTATTCTTCAAAAGAGGGCAATAAGAAACAAGTGCAAAGTTTCTGCTACTACATCGTGCAGACCACTTTTCTTACAATATAAAATCTTAAGGCTGTATGTCACGATACTAAATTTAGAACTAAATTAATGCATTTTTTAAGTACTAAAAAAATTCACGTTGCAAACAGCAAATTTAGTACTAAATTTAGTGCTAAAAAAAGTCATTAATTAAGTACTAAAAGTGCGATGAAATGTTGCGCAGAAGTTTTTCATAGAAAAAGTTGACACGACGGTATTTTCTGTACCCTTTTATTTTTAATTAGCGACAATTTTACATTATCGCCTTGAATAAAGTTCGCTTGTTTGATTTTGTAGGTTTTATTGTGTTTTTTTCGTGGTTTTTATGCTGTATTTGGTTGTTGTCAAGTCAACTAGTGTCAAATTAATAATAAAAACACCATTTACTTGTCTGTTTTACACATAATATTTCATTTCTCTGTTAATTTTACGTATTAATACGTCAATGCGCGTGCGCCTATAGTAAATTTAGTACTAAAAATTGGTATCCTTGCAAATGGAAAAAAAAATTTTTAGTTCTAAATTTAGTACTAAATTAATAACTTAATTTAGTGCTAAATTTAGTACTTAATTTAGTATCGTGACATACAGCCTTTAACCATATATAATTTGTATATAGTGGAAATGGCCTGCTTGATTTTCAGAAAATATAAGAATTATATTCCTGAAGCTTCTGTGTATGGCACTAGATTGACTTTTTTCCTGCCTCTCCCAATACTATCATCTGCTCTTATACAAAAATCAATTATTTATAATGGTAAAAAAATATTTAACCACTTGTCTATGGAAATAATACAGATAGGTATTGAGAAGAATTTTAGGAGGCAACTTACAACGTTTTCTGTCTGTGAAGGCTTATTACACACAGGCGGGATTTTTTAATGGCTCATAAGAGTATAAACATATACAAATTTTTTCTTTTCTTATTTTGTTTTCTAATCATTTATTTTTATTTTAAACTGTTTCAAACTTGACCAAAGCATTAAGGCTTTGTAAGGTTTTTAACTGGCTGATGACAAATATCTTTTAACTTTTTAAATGTACGTTAGGTTTATATATATATTTTTTGTATCTTTTGTATTTATGTTTTCTTTTTTACCAGCTTTGTCAATTAGTTTTTTTACTTCAGACAATAAAGCACTTTTTGATTGATTGATATGCGAATCACTATCGATAGTTTCTTCATAATAAAAATGTTATTGGGTTATAGTCAAACACAATCAGACAACTACTGCAAGGTGTTGTCATGAGTTGGATCACCTCAAGAAGATGGCTAGGAAATCCTTTAATAAGGCAAGAACCACAACTCAAAGAGAACTGGGTACATACAAATTTCACCTCGGAGAATACAAAAAATTGTCAGACAAAAACAGATGCATGGGGATCCTACTGAGAATAAATCTAAGATTTCCTGCAGGCAGCGAGGCTTCAAAATACTCTCTCAAAAGATCCACACCGAATCATTGGTGCGCTAATGAAAGAAGATGGCATGAAAAGTGTCAACCTCGAAGATATTTTCAAACTTCCTGACTCTGTCATCAAAGACGTGGCCGACTGGGCAGAGGAAGAATACAACCCATCTGTCTACGATTGGCAAACTGCCAAACACATTGTAGATGATGACAAAATTAGATAGCCAATATCGAGCTTCTCTCCAATCTAATTCGCCAGAATGTGACTGTATCTATCCAGCCCTACTTCAGTGGGGTCTGGAATAACTCACACCGCACCTGGTGGGTATATTCAGATCCTCGTTAGATCTGAGGTATATCCCCAAAAAATGGAGAGAGGTAAAAGTGTTATTCATACCCAAACCTGGAAGGATGGATTACACGTCTCAAAAACATACCGACCAATTAGTTTGACATCATTTTTCATGAAGACATTGGAAATTCTATGCGAAAGGTACATAAGGAATGCGGTGATTACAACAACACCACTACACCCAAACCAACATGCATACACCCCAGGCAGATATACTGATTCAGCCCTTCATCTAATTTCTGGCCAGATAGATCCCTGGATAATGAGTCCACCTTGGGTGTTTTTGTAGATATGGAAGGTGCTTTTGATAAAACCACCTTTCCAAGATAATACACTCACTAACCAACATTTTCGACTTTAACACCCTACCCTCTGTATATCGAAAACTAGTCATAGGATTGAGTTGAGCCATTTTTGGTTACTAGAGGTTGAGTACAGTATATGTACAGTAACATATCAAAGTTTCAGAAAATTTGAGCGGTCTCCACTTTAGATAAAGAAATACGTGCGGGGTTCTTATTTGGATAATATATGGATGTGTAAGTTTTAAACCTACATATGAAATAATAAAATTAATGACATCTTTAAAAATGTATAGACAAAAACAATTGGGAGATCAAAATGAGAAAGGATTACATGATTACAAGAAAAATAAATAAACAAAAATGGGTTGTTATTTTCTCTTTTGTTTTTAAGCTATTGCATAGCTTTTATCGCGGGCTTTGAGCATGGCGACCGGATCAAGAAATTCCGTAACGAAAATAAACCTGACACCCCCCACTCCGACCGGCGCCGTGGAAGGTTTTATCCGACCCTATTCGTATTAGTATGAAGCGGAGTTAAATATACGTCTGCGGACTGGAACGTTTATGCAATACAAGAACTAAAAGAGCTTTCTCTAGCTTCTAATAAATTGGTATCACAAATGTTCCCGGCTGGCGTAAATATTAGATATTAATTTTTTTTGCAAGATTTATAATAGTATATTATGCAACGATCATGTAATGATGGTTATTAATACACGAGCATTAACCGGGATACGAAACGAGCCAAAGGCGAGTTTCGTGTGGTTTATGCGAATGTTTTAATAACCATTACATGAGAGTTGCATACGCTATTTTTCTACACCCAATAAATAATCAAGACCTATAAATATTATATTGATATTGAACACAATAACAGTCATTACTCCTATTTCTCTAAAAAAATTCTACAAAATTGTAATTAATGGTATTATTTTTTTTTTGGTGTGTCATCGGCTTCAACTACCAGGGTTATTTCGCCTCGTGTTCCGTGTAGGCTTTGTTACTGTTTCCCAGCGCTACTTTAGGAACAGCACTGTTAATTAGAACCCAACAGTGAATGGTCGAGTGGGGAATCCTACCAAGGCATCAGAATTAATTTTAAATAATTAAATTAAATGAAAAAATTCCGGCCAACGGTGGGATTCGAACCCGGGACCCTTGGATCCACAGGCAGAGGCTCTACCACTGAGCCACCCACCCCATAATTAATGGTATTACTTCGGGTATTGGTATTTCCCTATATTTTTGCAGCAAAATATTTTGTACTGTATTTTCTGCTTTCTCCGATATGTGTGGAGGAGTCTTCTATATCGCTGATATCAGACATTTTAATATTATAATTATCGAAGTTTAGCTATCTACGAAAATTTAATACGTTTTGACAACTAAAACAATTACATAGGAACCTAAGACAAACGTCAAACCCCAGTATATATACCAAACAGCATGCTTGATTGAAAAATTGTAGTTTTCTAGTGATTAAAAATCTGTATCGTAATGAAAAATCTGTATCTAATGGGTATCATTATGAAACGGATTATGGGCATATAAGTGCATTATTATAATATGGGTGTAGAAAAAATATTAATTTTTATTTTGTCAGTGTTAACTAAGTAATCTATGGTTAACTATTTAATTATTAAGCTATTGCACAGATTTTATCGCGGGATTTGAGCGCGGCGACCGAATCAAGAAATTCCGTAACGAAAATAAACCTAACCTCTCGAAAAATGGATAAATCGAAAAAGAAATTCCGTAACGAAAATAAACACCCCCACTCCGATCGGCACAGCGGTGCGGCGTTGAAAGCCGTGCATCGTCTAACGTCGTTTCAGTTCGCAAGGTGTTTGTGTGCGTGCGACTATAGACGTATGCGTGTAGACTAGCTGCTAACTGCTCATAACTGATTCTGGGTCCTATGATTGAACGTTTATGTTATCCATAACGTACATGTTAGGTCGAATAGAGGACTTCTATACAAGGGAAGTGCAACCAACTTGACAAAATAAAATTGACACTAATGACATAAGAAATCGGGTCACATAAAGAGGCTGTTTTTTAGTTTGATTTTTGGTTTTTCCTATCTCCTTTCATGCCATTTGCATACCTTGTTGTACCCGTAACGTGAAAAAGACTTTTTATTTTAGGGTATTTTACATTTAAAGGTTGAAAACGTTTGTCAATATCAGCTGTCGATAATGTCAAAACATAAGCGTAGCATTGCATTTTATTTTTTGTTGTTATTAGTCTAATTGTGTTTCTCCTGCTTTCTCGAAACATTATTTTTCATTTGGTTTTATTTATTTATGTCGATTGCAAAATGCTGCTGCTACGAATACAAGTTCTATAAAATATACAACCAACATACAATACTAGTTACTTATGCCCATCTATGGTTACGCCTGTGTTCTATCATCAACATAATTGACAGCTGACAATGACAAAATATTTCAACCTTTAAATGTAAAATACCCTAAACTAAATAGTCTTTTTCACGTTACGGGTACAACAAGGTATGCAAATGGCATGAAAGTAGATAGGAAAAACCAAAAATCAAACTAAAAAACAGTCTCTTTATGTGACCCGATTTCTTATGTCAGTAGTGTCAATTTTATTTTGTCAAGTTGGTTGCCCTTCCCTTGTATAGAAGTCCTCTATTTAAACAGTAACGAAGCAAGTTTGTATGACGGAAAACTGTTAAATTAGAACATAACAGGCGGAAAATAACAGTAATGTGTTGGAAACCGTTTTTCATCATACGAACTTGCCTAATTACTGTTAAAACTGAGCCTAACATGTACGTTACGGATAACGTAAACGTTCAATCATAGGACCCTCTATCTCTTTTAGACACAATTTCGGAAAAATTGAATTTGAAAATGAATAATGATCCACAAGAATCCACAACAAAATATGGAACCACCATTGACGTGGTATTTTCCAGATATTTAGAGGATATCAAGTCTCAAACTTATGTTTCTTATTTCAGTTACCATAAACCTATAGTTTCAATGATAAAAATTTCTGAATAACCTACATGTATTGTAAGATAATAAAAATATTTTAAACAATATTAACTTCTCATTTATTCAATAAAAGAAAAAAAATTGTTTTCTTATCGGTCACCACGCTCAAAAAGTGTAACTTAAATTAATATCAAAGAAAAAACTTGAATAAATATCAAAGAAAAAAAATACTGCATAAATAAAATAAATAAATAATTATAATTGCATAAGTTGATAAAAAATGCTATGCAATAGCTTTACCGCGGCAGTCCCCGAGTGCCACAGGTATTTTTTTTTATATATTTATTTAATAAAATTATTATCTAATTACCCTAATCCCATAAACTATTAAATCTTAAATTAACCAGCCTCCGATAACGTCACATTAAAAGGTCAGTTTCGTACGATAAAATTATGATTTATGAGAAAAAAAGAAAGAATTTCTAGAGCATTGAATCCCCTTTTTATTTTTCTATGTGAACCCCAATTGAACAATTTGATTTTGGTGGTCTGGCAAAACTGGTGATGAAGCACTGAACATAGGTAATGGCACTGAAGCAGTCGATTCGCCGTCGAGTAGGAGATTACGAGATTAGTAATCTATGAGTAGGAGGGTGTAGAAGAGGAGTACTCTCGTGTCGTGAGTTCGAGAATAGGATACCAAAGCCGGTTAGAACAGAAGTAAAAGTTGGAAATGCTTTTACCAGTTCTTCCACTTTATACACATAAATTGACAGGTTGGCAGCGGATCTCCCCGAAGTGGACGCGATACATTGGCGTACAAAATTATTTTATAGATGTTAATAACAATTTCAAGTAAATAGTTTAATAAATTGTGAATAGCTGTTGAAATTTTGTAAAATTATAATTTGAATATTATAATACATGTTTAATAATTATTTATAGTCCATAAATACATGCGATTGTCCGGTTCCGCCGATAACAATTTAAAATTACTTATTCTATGAAACGACACCACAACGACACTGGCAGGTAAACATTAGTGTGAAATTCTCGAAGCCGCCCGACGTGGTTTGACGTTTACCCCCTCTCTACCTACCAAAAGATTTTTCAACTTTTACTTTCTCTATACCCGAACATGCCATACGTAGAAGTTAACTTGAAAACTCGTACATGGAACAGTAACTAAAGTAAAAGAAGAAAATGTCATACTTGTCATTAACTGTCAAAATCAAAATACCCCTACCCTACCTATTGAATGCTTTGCAATTTGCAATACAAACCAAAATTAATTTTTATTTTTTATTTATAAAAATAACAACAATAAATGATTTTATATTTTTGATTGTTTGCTTACATATTATATATGCGTTGTGCAAATAAATCATAAGGAAATGTCAGTTGAGGAAGAAATAGAGTTAAAAGACTTAATTGCTCAAACCCTAAAGTCAAATGGAACACTGGCTAAAATCAAGGTATTGTACAAATACAATATCTATTAATCTAAATTGCATTTGTATTTATTTCTAGAAATATACTTTTTATAAGTATTCTAGTTATTTTCCAGTAACAAGAATTATTGTGTCCCAACCATTCATTTAACTGCAAAAGCGAAAATCTACATTTTTGCTTAAAAATTTTCTTTACCATTCACAAAAAATTATTTTTATTTCTGTTTCTAAAATATACCTGTCAGTCCAATATTAATTGTTATGTATTTGTTTAGATACCCATTGATTTTGTTAACTATTGCAAATATTACATACTTTTTAGTGTTTTTTTATGTGTATAAAACGAAACTTTTTTTTGCTGTTTCAGGCTCAGTTACGTGCCAGTATTTTTCTTGCATTGGATGAGGATGAAAAGGTATTTTAAATATTCTTCATTAATATTTTTTATGTAAAGGATATTCTAAAAGTAAGAAGTATGAGCTGCAAAATTTCTCTCCAGGGTTGTGCACGGAATTGTGAACTGCTAAATATTCACTTCGGGTTTTAATCCAGTCTATTCATTGATCGGACGGCAGCGATTTTGACTGCAGTATTTGCTATATACACTTATATGTATTATTATAATTTAATTTTGGTAGAGTCTGCCTGCGGATCCAAGGGTCCCAGGTTTGAATCCCACCATTGGAAATAATTTTTTGGTAGGATTCCCCACTCGACCATTCACTGTTGGGTTCTAATTAACAGTGCTGTTCCTGATGTGGCGCTGGGAAACAGTAACAAAGCCTACACAGAACACACATGATTAAGAATTTATACTCAAATTTGAGACTGGCATATTAGGTATATACACCCAGGCCATAAATCCAAAAAAAAATAATAATTTTCTTATGGAATCGCAGTTATAGCGCTCTATACATTCATAACATATTAAAACATATCCAGACTCATCTCAGAACCTCACTCCATTAATTTTTAATTAGTGATAATGCTATGTGTAATGTGCATGGCAGCGAAATCATGACGTCATTCGCAGTTTATATTCACAGTGAATTATAATCACATTCACAGTAACAACTGCAAACGAATATTCGCGAGTAAGCTCATCTGTACTTAATTCTTTTTTTTTTAACCCTTTCACTGCAGGAAACGACTTTAAAAATGAATAGAGCGCCGCCATTGTGGAAATAGACTTTTAACTCCTTTTTACTGGTTTGCTGCCGCAAAGAATTATTTTATATATCATGTAAACAATAATCGATTCCCGCACCAAAGCCTCAAATAAAATTCCACAGTGAAAGGTGTTATGACAATTTAAATTTAATTCACGGAATATTAGGCATTCCAAAGACCTCTCAAAATGCTGTCTTGATATGTCAATCCTGCGGGTCTGTTGGCTCTGAAAGGGTCAATTGCCACTCAAGTGCTCATTAATCGGAATCGATTTAGCAAAAAATGTGTTTGAAAACCAATTTTCAACCTTTGAATATAGTTAAAAAATAGTTACCATTGACCCTGTATAATCCACCAAACCCAGTGTCTTAATCGGTTGCTAGGAAATTAATAAAAATTAATAAAAGTTAATAAAAATTAATAAAAATTAATAAAAATTAATAAAAATTAATAAAAATTAATAAAAAATAATAAAAATTAATAAAAATTAATAAAAATTAATAAAAATTAATAAAAATTAATAAAAATTAATAAAAATTAATAAAAATTAATAAATATTAATAAAAATTAATAAAAATTAATAAAAAAATAATAAAAATTAATAAAAATTAATAAAAATTAATAAAAATTAATAAAAATTAATAAAAATTAATAAAAATTAATAAAAATTAATAAAAATTAATAAAAATTAATAAAAATTAATAAAAATTAATAAAAATTAATAAAAATTAATAAAAATTAATAAAAATTAATAAAAATTAATAAAAATTAATAAAAATTAATAAAAATTAATAAAAATTAATAAAAATTAATAAAAATTAATAAAAATTAATAAAAATTAATAAAAATTAATAAAAATGAATAAAAATGCATAAAAAAGGATTAAAATTAATAAAAATGAATAAAAAAGAATAAAAAAGGATTAAAATGAATAAAAATAAATGAATAAAAATGAATATAAATGAATAAAAGTAAATAAAAATAATTAAAAATAAATAAATATGAATAAATATAAAAAATAATGAAAATCAATAAAACTAATAAAAATTAATAGAAAAGGAAGTCATGTATTTTTTTATATTAATAACACGACTACATGAGAGCAAAGTCGCGAGCAAAGCCGCGGGCAACAGCTAGTGGTCTATAATATACTGCAAGAAATTTTGTGTTTTGAGCTAATAATAGGGTTGCATTAGGAATATACTCATTGAAGTTATTAGCTGTTGTGTTAGGACTAGCCAGTCATTTTAGATCATTATTGGCTCTATTTGTTCCTTTAATTTCATTAACAATTTGCCACAGACATTTTGGCTTATTGTCGCTCTGTTGAATTCTATTTTCTGTATTGTAGTTTGCGTGAATTTATTAATGATTAATTATATTCACGTTTTGTTTGTCTTCCATATATTGATCTTCTGTTCTATTCAGGACCAATAAAATGTCTAAACGATTTTTAAATTCTAGTAGGTACTTCGCGAGAGTCTCAAGTATTGAATGTTTACGATTTTTTTAATCGTTTTTTTCTGGAAAACACTAGTTAAGACGTTTCTTGCTTTTGGTTGTGTTTTATGCTTGTAAGAATAAGAAACCATCTCATCTTCTTTTAAATGTAGGGTAGACAAAGCTGCAATTAATTTACGTGACGTGTACCAATAAATCCACAGAATTTTAATTTTGTTGCCAAATGTCTACTTTTATTTTCCAATTAATCCCATCTCTGTGTGTATTGTGGGAAGAGTGAATTAGAAACATAAATAGGTGTCTGTTCTTTATTTTAACAATTGTGGACAATGCATGAAGTGGTGTTGCAGCAAAATAAAAAGGGTAGCGTCAATTAAAATTTACTGAATATATTTTAAATTGTTTCTTGTGTATTTTAAATAAATAATAAGCTACCGATAATAAAAATTCCAAGCAACTATTTTTTATTTCGATAGGCAATTGGTTTTTATTAATTAAAAGATGAAAATAAAAAAATATATTTTAAATGTGTCCGTAATTAGATACGATTAGTATATATATTTACCTTCAGTAAAATTGGGGTAAATATTGCAGAGACGCACTTTTCTTAAAAATACAATTTTTTTTACAAAACTTACATTTTAGGCTTTAGGAAGGAGAGTATTTTTCAACTATACCACTAGAAACCCATAAATTAACGTTTTTTTAAAAAAAATTACATATTAAAGGCTTATGAGGATCATAATCTTATCATTTATGTGAACTTATTCATTAGAATACGCTAGTTTGGTGTGATGTAATTTTGCTTCCACTGGCATTTAATTCTAACCAAACTTTTAACAAAAACATCAATAAATTTGACATATACGTTTTTACTGTTATTAATTTATTTCTAAATATTGTTTACAGATCATAAAAATAGTTTAAAGGTATGTAATTGGTAACTAATTGATTGTATATTTGATTCATGTTATCTACTTACTTTAGGAATATATTTATAAAAATGAAAAAACGATATAATTTAGGTAAACAAAACGAACAAAACGCACTCAAAAAATCTACTGTCACTTTAATTGTCAGTGAAACCATAATTACATCATCACTAAAATAGCGTATTAGAATTATATCTGTCGTGCTCTGTCAATTCAAATATGCACGATGTTGCCAAGTGTCTAATTAAAATCAACAAAACGAAATTAGGCATTCCAAACAAATGAATTACCAGTGGGCAGGTTTGGTATATCTAAGGGTGGCGACATATGGTGTATTCTATCTACTTTACGAAAAATCATGAATAATGGATTACATTTAAATATTTTATGTCAAACACAATAAAATTAATATTTAAAAAACCCATCTATACATTTCTTCATAAATTGGCAGGCTTGGCGAGTACTACTTCGAATAAAAATAGCGTCCAAGTTGCAAGACTATGTCGCTACCCCCTTAAATATACAAGAATTTCCCACTGGCACCTATTGTTTGACAGGTCGTTGGAATGCCTAATTAAAAAAAATTACCTTACTTTTGACATAACATTTCCATACACTTTAAAAAGCACTTCTATAATTTATTTCCAGTCACATCTGACGATTTATTTATTCATTTTGATTGAATTGTTGTAGTACATAATAATTAAATATTAATATTACATCATCTATAAAGTAATAAACAAAGTCGAAAATTTTTAAACATAACTTTGTAATTACTGTATTATCCAAAAGTTTAAAACAAGTGAATTTATTTGGTTGACAAATGACGCCAGCTAGCCAAATTTAAAGACTACTATCAACAAAAGGATAGCTGAATTAGTTCAATTTGTGTTGGGTTAACTGTGAAGTCACTTTAAAAGTCATTCCATTTAAAACGTAATCGATACACCCTTTTTTAAATTACGACATTTAAACATTTTTAAATTCAAAAGATCATTTTGACCCATTTAAAAATCATAGGAGTAAATAAATAGGCAAGTAGTAGGTGATACATTTAAATAATATGGCCATGTTATCTTAACATTTTTTTTAATTAAGAAATATTGAGAAATTTAAAATGTTAAGGTATAAGTCGAAATTTATATACAGAGTGTACAAAAGTAACGTAATATACTAATATTTAGATTCCCGATAGGTTTGCAAAACAATTTTGAATAAAATTTTATGAAATGAATGAAGTTAATTAGAAATATACTGGGTTGACCATTACTCCAAAATGAGGCAAGCATAAATTTTATTAAATAATTTTTCGTACGCTGTTAAATTTAAATTTAAACTGTTAATACCGCATTGTGCTAACTTAACGAATACATCCTTGCGTTATTTTGGAATAATGGTGCGTGTAGTATATTTTTAACATACTCACAATTTTATTTTATACATGTTTCGAAATTCGCAAATGCCCTTTTTACACTTACACCGTAATAGCGCGCTTCGCTCGTAGCACCCACCCACCTGCTAACCACTACAGGAGCAAGTGAGCGGTCCGGCCGATGTTTCGAAATTTGCGCGAATTACTAAACGTCGGCCGGGCGCGCCCTTTTTACACCTACACTATAAGAGATAAGAGCACGAAACGCTCATCCCATCCACTTCCTAACCATTACAGAAGAAAGCGTGCGAAGCAAGCGCGCCCGGCCAACGTTTTGAAATTCGCGCCCCGAAACGTCGACCTGGCGCGCTTTTGTCATCTAAGCCTAATAAGTTGTCTTTAAAGAATTAGCTTATTCCGTCAAAATAAAAAAATACCTTTAAATAATAGCCTAAAGTTAAAATGTATAAACAGAAGGATTGTTATTTATATTTTAATTTTTGTTCGAAAAAAACATAGATTGAATGATTAAAACTGGTTTTCTATCAGTAAGTCGCAAAATTGCATTCCAGCCACATACAATAATCAAAGGCAGAAATCTAGTTCTTGCTGAACATTTAAGATTAAAGAAATGTTAAAGAACATCGTAAAATAATGTATTGTTTATTTAAAACCTTTTAAGTTTCTTATGTCTACTATTTCCAGTATTACTGTTATTATTACAAAAATACAGGTAATTTTTCTTCTTATTGTACACCTATCCATTAATTTCTTTGATTTACTTTCCACTTTGCTACTGAATTTTGTTATAATTTGCTAGTATTTTTACAATTTTTAATACAGCAACTACGGTTGCTTATTGTATTGTTTTTACTTACTTAAAAAAAAAAAAAGAAAAAAAAATGTAGACTTGTATTTGATATGACAAAATTACCAAATATCGCCCTAAAATGCACGAATTATCCGCAGCTAGCGCTAGTATGGCTTTTGCTTCCTCTACCACGACTTCGCACTGAGCGAATACCTGGAATACCGAGATATAATAGAGGTTGCGTTCGCGGTGACAATTTAGAATTGATAATAAATTAGTTGTTCTGAATCATTTTTACCACGAACGAGAAGCTATTAACTACACTTAATACAAACCCAAATTAAAAGATGGATTTTAAAAAAGATTATTAAAATATTGTTACACTGGTTTTTGGTTTCACAATTTTTTTCAGTTCAACTTTACAATAACTCAATTCAACTTTAACAATAACGATACAACTGATAACATTAACATGTAACGTCTATCATAAAAACTGATAACTGACGTCAGGATCCTCGGCTTTAGCTTGCGAACCTTCTCGAAATGCCTAGAATTTTCTTGACAAATAATGACGTTTCCCGACATTTCTGGAATATTCTATCTTCTTTTACTTGTAGTTTTACTTATGACGACCGCAGCACACCGTAGGGCGATTAGTAACATTCCACTTATTTTTCTATCTGTACGTTTCCTAAAATAGCCGCAGGCTACTGCAGGGTGCTGCGTAACATTGCTTCCTCCTCTCTAGTTATTCGCCCCGAATAACTTGATTACTGGGACCTGGTTGGAGCCAACGGAGAGGATCTGGACCACGATATGGCGGCGCTAACTTTTCAATGTGGACTATCTTGGGTTTACTTCCCGCTGATAATTGAATGCGGCAGATCAGGTCGTTGATTTTCCTTGAAGGATGGAGTAGGGGCCTTCCCAGTTCCGTTGCGATTTCTGACAAAGTCCTCCTCGCTGCTTGAGGATTGCACAGCCATACCTTGTAGCCCCTCTCAAAATGTGTATCTGTGGCACGCCTGTCGATATCTTCTACTTTATCGGTGTGGGCTTTCAGTCGTTCCCGAGCGAATACATAGACCTTTGTCCTGCCATTACATACATCACATTTTTTACACCAATCCGCTACATCCCGTCGGCAATTGACCCAATAAAATCTTTCCCGAACTCGTGCCAGTGTCCTTTTAGTATCAAAGTGTCCTCCTGAACGGCTGCTATGAAGCTCCTCCAATACATTTCTCAGCTGTGACCTCGGCAATATCACTTGGCGGACTACATGTACCCCATCGGGGCTCTCCCACTTCCGGTGCAATAGGCCATCGTGAAGATACAGGGAATTCCACTGGGCCCAGTAGCCTTTTATAGTTCTACTGTATTTGGCTATTTCTTGCCATGTAGGTGTAACTTTATTTTTGAGCCATTCTCGGACAATCTTTAAGTCATTGTCTTTCTTCTGTCCCTGTCTCAGACTTTCAAGGGTGATTTCTTCTTCGTCGCCTTCTGGCTTGATAGTGGTGGCCCGAAGAGTAACTTCATCAACCGATTCTTCTCGTTCTTCGAGCCTTTCACCATACCAGCATTGTTCCTCTAAACGGGGTTTCCCGAAGAGAATGTCTGCGTTGCTATGGAGACCTCTTCGATGCTCTACTTTCTGGTTATTGTTAGAAAGCCGGCTCGGTATGGGTGATTGGCTTCTTCGGGACGCATAGCTGCTGTAATTAATTCTTGTTGGTCTTAGTGATGGGCCTGGAAAGATTAATCTATATGATTTTCCGGTCTTTTTCGCTGATTCTCGATTTATAGAATGAGCCATGCTTCTACAGGTTCTTTGAAGATGCCCGATTCTCCCGCAATTGAAGCATCTCCTGCTTCCATTTTGGCTATTTCGTTGCATATTTCGTAGGATATTTAAGATTTGAGGAATAGCATTAGTATTGGCCTCCTCACTTTCCTGGGATTTAATTTCCCTCAGTTTTGCGCGAGAAGATCTGGATAGGAGTTTTGCCGCTTCATATTCCTGGGTTGCAATCAGTTTCTCCCTCAGCGTCTTGTGATATTGTAGACGTAGGACTTGCTGCATTTCCGCATCTTGTAATCCATCAATGAATGCCTCTATTCCGATTTGTTCTTGGAAATCTTTGGGCGCCTGTGGATAGGCCAGATGAATCAACCTTCTTATGTCGGCCCCGAATTCCTGTAGACTCTCATTATGTTTATGACTACGAATTTTTAGCTGTCTTTGAAATACCCGTTTCAAATGCTGCTGGCCATATCTTGTCTCCAACGCTTGGACGAGAGATGAATAACTGGGTTCTGCTTGAGAGAAGTAACTGTAACACGGTTGCTGCTTGTCCTCGCAGCGACACTATCAATGCAGCCGCCATCTCCGTTTCAGCCCAGCCATTGGCTCTAGCTGCAGCTTCAAATTGAAGGCGATATGTTTCCCATGTTGTCTGCCCGTCAAACGTGGGTGGCTTAATGATCTTGCTAGTATGGATTTGTGAAATTGGGTGTTGAATATGGCTTGGTTCGATTACAGATGAGGACGAGGTAGTATTTTCAGCTTCTCTATTGCTTATCGAAGCTAGGCTGCGAATTCTTTTTTCTAACTCAACTAGTTCAGTTCTAATTTGCGTTGTTCTTCTAAATTAGTTTTTAAATGCTCTTGCTGCTGTTCTAAATTAGTTTTTAAATGCTCTTGTTGTTGTTCTAAAATATCTACTCTAATTTTGAGATGACCAATCTCTTGCTTAAAGGTTTCCTGGATTTTTAGCAAAGCATTCATAATTTATACCTGAGCTTTTTTATGCCTCTCTTCCTTCTCTTTTTCCTCGTCATTCCTGCGTCTTTCCTTCTCTTCTTCTCGCCTTTCCTTCTCTTCTTCTCGCCTTTCCTTTTCCTTCTCTTCTTCCTTTCTACGCCTTTCATTTTCCTCCTCTCCTTTCTTTCTACGCCTTTCCTTTTCCCCCTCTTCTTTCTTCCTACGCCTTTCCTTTTCCTCCTCTTCTTTCAACGCCTTTCCTTTTTCTCTTTCTCCTTACGGCGCCTTTCCTTTTCCTCTTCTATCTTCAAAAACCATGCTGGTGTGCCTGCAGTATCCATATCAGTTCCGTACTCAGTGGATCTAGTATTTACCATTAACTTCTTTTTTTTGTATCCCACCGCTATCACCAATGTTACACTGGTTTTTGGTTTCACAATTTTTTTCAGTTCAACTTTACAATAACTCAATTCAACTTTAACAATAACGATACAACTGATAACATTAACATGTAACGTCTATCATAAAAACTGATAACTGACGTCAGGATCCTCGGCTTTAGCTTGCGAACCTTCTCGAAATGCCTAGAATTTTCTTGACAAATAATGACGTTTCCCGACATTTCTGGAATATTCTATATTCTTTTACTTGTACTTTTACTTATGACGACCGCAGCACATTGTAGGGCGATTAGTAACATTCCACTTCTTTTTCTATCTGTACGTTTCCTATAATAGCCGCAGGCTACTGCAGGGTGCTGCGTAATAATATATTAGCCCAGATCCGTAAGTAAGGTCTGTTTAATGGATAAAAGTGTTTTAAAATATGTTTTTAAATATACCAAATGGGTTGACTAAGAAAATACGGTCACGGCCATTTTTTACTTTCCTTTCTTTGTACAGATATGGAAAGTATAGGAATCATGATGAAAGTTGCCTATGATGTCATTCTCTATTATTTTGTCCCTATACATGATTTCCCTAAAATGTACCTAATTCGAGATATTTGAGAAAAAGTGCAAATTTCTAATTTTGAAAAACGAATGAAGAGAAAAACACCAAATTTTAAACTTAAGCTTTAATCCATCCTGCGGTGAGCTGATTAAAGTTTGTGCATAGTCGAAGCGATCTGGGGAATACTTTACAGGGTGTCGTTTTTTTTACTTTAAGAAAATAAATAGTTTGGACTGTATTTTCTTAGGCAACCCATTTACGGTATATTTATAAACATATTTAATAAAAAGAAACTTTCATCCAATAAACAAATGGGTGAAGGTCGACCTTCCTTTGGATCTTAGACTATATTGTTTTAACATTTAAATTATAATTATTTTATTTTAAAAGCAAGCAGTGTGATTGAGTGTTTCATTTATAAATTGTTCCTAAAAAAAAAAACTTGAACTTTAACATGATTATCAAAGAAAAATGTTGCCCACAACACATTTTTTTATTAAATTGAAAGAAAATTAATTTTATTGTGTTTCCTTTAAAGTTGATTATTCGATTAAACGATCATTAGATTATTTTAATTAATGATAATGGAATATAATAATTTTCTTTGAAAAATCGAAAATAATCGATTCATTGATCGTATATAATCGATTGATTGATCGAAAATAATTCCTGTGAACTATTTAAAAAATATTACTGACACATTGTAAAAGACAGTACTCTTCCTAAATTTTCTGCTGCATGTTATTTTTATTATAGATTAGCAAACAGAAACCTTTATTAAATACCAAAATTAAAGGTTTCATGGAGAGCGATGAAGGTAAAACAATGTTTTACATAGTTCATGAGTTTCTGGAGTTCTTCAATTTGTGTTTTACTTTGGCTGTTTATGAACCAGAATCTTACATAGATTGTAATTACAAATCAGAAGAAAAACAAAGGCTCTTAAATCAGTTTGGATTAGGAAATATTGAAGAAAGCAATGAACCAGTTTTATACCAATTACTCAAAATAGCTCAAAGGTCAAAAAAGAATTTAGAAGTCAATATTAATATAAATGGTAACTTGCTTCAAGAAAATAAGCCGGAAAGTATACCCACTGAATCTTCAGGTAAATATTTATTATTGTTTGTGAGAGATGAAGTTTTCTATTTCAATACAGTCATTAAGGTGATTACAGCATCCCTTATTATTTTCGGACAAGCATATCGCAAAAAGTAATTTTTTTAATAATTAAAATTTTGGCAAAATAATTTAGGCAATAATATCTAGAATATGCATATATTTTAAAGTTTTAATTCCTTTCAGTTTCCAAGAAAAAATCAAAGGGCTTTAAATTTTGAAATATCATAATGAAAATAAATGCATTCCTCAACAGCACTATTCTTAATATAATTCCCAAATTTAAGTTCCTAATCTCTTGTTAATTATTTTTTTAAAATTCGCCGAAATTAGTGGCTAAAACGCCTCGTTAGGTGCTGCTTTCTGGTGTAACGCGTCTGTAACTATCGTATCGCACACTATGGGTCATCATTCGTTTCTTGTAACGATTTACACCAGTTTACACCAGAAAATAGCACTTAACGAGACGTTTTAGCCACTAATTTCGGCGAATTTTAAAAAATCATTAACAAGAGATTAAGAGCTTAAATTTGGGGATTATATTAAAAATAGTGCTGTTGAGGAATTCTTTTATTTTCATTATGATATTTCAAAATTTAAAGCTTCTTGATTTTTTTCTTGGAAACTGGAAGAAACTAAAACTTTAAAATATATGCATATTTTAGATATTATTGTCTCATTTATTTTGCCAAAATTTTAATTTAAAAAAAAATTACTTTTTGAGATATGCTTGTCCGAAAATTATGACCTTAAGAGGAATTAAAACGAATTTGTCTATAACAAAAGGTTATGGAATGATAAAATATGGCAGGAAATTCGATCCTTGTACTCTAATTATGATACCTAATTCACTGCATCATCGTCTTGGAAAAAATTCACCCAAAAACAGTTTTGCGAGAGAATTTTTTTACCCTATTTTTTTTATGTTGTACAGTTATTGTATCTTAAAAGCCGATAGCATGAGTACCAAAAGCAATAATTATTCCCATGCTCAAAATATAGTTTTTTTTTACAATTCAATAATACATTCATTATTATTATTATTATTATTATTATTATTATTGTTTTTTTAACTGATTAGTAATGATTCATTACTTCTCCCATTCCTCTGACTTGGAAACTATTAATCTGACTGAAATTCCTGCAGTTTCATCTGTCCATAACCTTTTGTTACCTAAAAATATTCTAATCACTATTTTGACACTATTCCTTTACAGAAATTAAAATTTTATTAGTAGTCCAGTGTTTGAAGGTAAAAACAGGCTATTACTTCCGATTTCTTTCGGACCATACCGATTTGGATGAATATTTGTAATTAAGCTTATCTTACCCTCCTCTTCAAAAATTATGTTGCTGGTGTACGATTTTTATTTTTAGGGATTGGAAACTATTCCTTTTGACGAAAAACTTGAAAACCATATATTTAAGAATTGCTTGGATTAAAATAATGTTCAAATATTAAAAAAATATATATTAAAATATTGAACATAATTTATGACGAAATTGACAAAATAAATAGTTTTCAACAGTTTAAAATTATTTAATGAATGAATTTAAATCTTCTCACTATTCATATTAATTTTAACATACATTAAAATATCGAAATTACAATAATTACCATTACCATCGACATCCTTCTCTTGGTCTCTAATTGGAAGACAATTTTTACAGTTGTCATCGGAGCACCTTCCACATTTTGAATAACAAAAAAGCCCGACTTTTCGACAGCCCCATCCTTCTTTACAATTACAAAATATTTTAATTAGTTCTTCTGGTGCAGGCATATTAACCATTTTAATTGGATATAACGATTCTTTATCTTTAAAACAACCCCAGTCAATTGGACGAATTGTTTTGTTCCAAGCCATAATTGCATTTGTAAATAAACCCTCTTGATGTGCTCATTCAGAGCATCAACTATTGAAACAAGGGATGCAAGCTCCTGTTTTTAATGGTAGCCTTAATAAAGTTCTCATAGCACATCTGATCAAGAATAGCAATTATATTTTTTGACACACCTCGTATACGGCAGAATTTTTATAAAGATGACTTTTTTTCATAAAACTAAGAATAACAAAGTTTCCTATATGATTCCGACTTAATTGGACACTTTGTATAGTATATTATTTTTATTTTCTAAGATTGGATGCACCCTAGTATAATTTTAAATAAAGTTCCTCAAGTTTCAATTAATGTTATTTCGATAAATGTTTTCGATCATCTGCTATTTTGATCTCATTCTTTTCAATCAATTGATATTAGATCTTTTGCCTTTTAGATATTTTTGAAATTCAATCTAAATATTTTCTCTCAAATGCCATTTGAACAAAAACATTCGATCAATTTTCAGGGACCCAGGTTGAATTTACCTGAAACCTTCTCTTTAGAGATTTTTTAGTTTAAAGGGCTTGTGGAAGGTGGTACTCGCACTCAGATGCAAACTAAAAATGGTGATAACCTATGCGCAAATATGGGTTAGTTTTACTGATTTCACTCCATATTTGTGTGTTTTTGGAATGGACTGTATAAATAGATTTCTGGTTCTGGGTATTCAAAATGCGACACTACATTAAATAGTTTATTGTATTATCCGTATGTATACAACAAAATAAACACTTGTATAACACGAAAACAAGGACACAACAATGGTATAATATGTCTAGTATGTGTCTGCTTGCTTTTTCAACTGTTCTCCGTAACAACACCCCGAGATAATACTTTTTAATTGAATTTACTTAGAGAAATAAAAACGCCAGCCGGTTGACCTCTCTTAAGTTGACAGGACCAACTGGGCAGAATCGATTAAGATCTATTACATTATTTAGTACCTATTTTGTACTAATTTGTACCACCAATAAAAATAAAAACTATCCTGAACTCATATTGGGCTCAAGAAAAAAAATCCTTTTGTACGAGCAGAAACAATAGTTACTCCTGCAACAAAAGTAACATAATTTTTACCGTTAAAATATAAAGTTTCAGAATGTGTACCCCTCCCGTTCCTATAGAATCTATCATGAACTTATATTAGGCTCAAGAGTAAAGTATCCTTTTACACGAGCAGAATCAATAGTTACTCAAGCAATAAAAGTAACATAATTTGTACCGTTAAAATATAAAGTTTCAGAATTTGTACCCCTCCCGTTCCTATAGAATCTATCCTGAACTTTTATTAGGCTCAAGAGTAAAGTATCCTTTTACACGAGCAGAATCAATAGTTACTCCTGCAATAAAAGTAAAATAATTTGTAACGTTAAAATAAAAATTTTCAGATTTTTTACCCCTGCCGTTCCTATAGAAACTATCCCGAACTCGTATTAGGTCCAAGAAAAAAGTATCCGTTTGCACGAGCAGAATCAATAGTTACTCCTGCAATAAAAGCAACATAATTTGTACCGTTAAAATATAAAGTTTTAGAATTTGTACCCCTTCCGTTCCTATAGAATCTATCCCGAACTCATATTGGGCTCAAGAGTTAAGTATCCTTTTGCACTATGAGTTCGGGATAGATTCTATAGGAACGGAAGGGGTACAAATTCTAAAACTTTATATTTTAACGGTACAAATTATGTTGCTTTTATTGCAGGAGTAACTATTGATTCTGCTCGTGCAAACGGATACTTTTTTCTTGGGCCTAATACGAGTTCGGGATAGTTTCTATAGGAATGGCAGATGTACAAAATGTGAAACTTTATATTTTAACGGTACAAATTCTTACTTGTATTGCAGGAGTAACTGTTGATTCTGCTCGTGCAAAAGGATACTTTTCTCTTAAGCCTATGAGTTCAAGATAGTTTCTATAGGAACGACAGAGGTACAAAATCCGAAAATTTATATTTTAACGGTACAAATTATTTTACTTTTATTGCAGGAGTAACTATTGATTCTGCTCGTGTAAAAGGATACTTTACTTTTGAGCCTAATAAAAGTTCAGGATAGATTCTAAAGGAACGGGAGGGGTACAAAATCTTTAACTGTACAAATGTTACTTTTGCAAAAGGATACTTTACTCTTGAGTTTAATATGAGTTTATAGTATGAGAGCCCACTGCAAATTTCGACCGTCATCTGATAACGAAATGAAATATGTTCCAAAGGCATGTAACAACATTGTACTTTACCAAATTGCACCTGTGCCAATCCATATCCTGAGCAAAGTGGTTAAAAAAAAATATTTTACATTCAAAAAATCACATAAGACATGACAGCGACAATTGTGTTGTCCCTGAAAATTACAATCCTAATTCATTATGAACCTAGCTTTTAAACCTGAATTATTAATATTTTTACCTACCTTTTAAACCATGTTTATTTGTGAAAGGAAGAAGAATGGCATTGTATAAACCATTTGCAGAGATAGTCAATAATAATTTATAAGCTCTTGTTAGACAATTATTTAAAACCATAATCATAGTAGTTTTTTTGTCGTTTCTATGGCAACCTGTCAAAATAAATCACAACAATAGGCATAGAAATAAATTTTTAAATCAGCAAAAATTGATTCATATTTTTAATGATTTTTACCTACTAATCGTGGATAGATGTTTTTGTGCGATGTTAAGAGAAAGAAAATGTTTCCCTTTAACGATATATATCAAGATATATTTGAATGTTATTTTCTGGAAAACTTTAAGGGCAAACAAAATTAGCGCTGCCATGCCTTATGTGATTTTTTTAATATAAAATAATTTTTTTAAGTCACTTTGCTCAGGATTGGGATTGGCACAGGTGCCATTTGGTAAAGTACAATGTTTTTCCATGGTTTTGGGATATTAGGCTATTAGGATAGTTTCTATAGGAACGGCAGGGGTACAAATTCTGAAACCTTATATTTTAACGTTACAAATTGTGTTACTTTTATTGTAGAAGTAACTATTGATTCTGCTCGCACAAAAGGGACGGCAGGGGTACAAATTCTGAAAGTTTATATTTTCACAGTAGAAATTATGTTGTTTTTTGTTCAAAAATAACAATAGATTCTGTTTGTGTAAAAAGTCACTTTTTTCTTAAATAGATTTAAATTCAAGTTGTTTCAGGCAGTTTGATTAAATAAATTAGGTTTTTTTTTTAATGGTCAAAATTAGTACAAATTCAGTCCTTTTTAATTCTACCTTTGTATTATTTTTTTTTAATGTGGTCCTGCTAGCTTAATATTAAACTAGAAGCCATATGTGTTTTTTTTGTAAACGGTACATATTACAAAAAATTGATTTGTGGTACAAATTGTCGTACAAATTCAGTTCTTTTTAATTCTACCATTGTTTTATTTTATTTTTTTAATGTGGTGCTGCTAGCTTAATATTAACGTAGCAGCGCCATATCTTTTTTAATTATTGATGTATTATGAAAAGGAATATATTTTCGTAATTTTCAAAAATCATTTCGAAGAAATTTTTTTCCAATCTAAGCATTTTACACCGTTCATTCTTCTAGAACATATTGTTAGTGCCTAAATAAAATTAGTTTTAAAAGAATTACGTTTGTGCAGATACGCCATTGGCTTAATCGCTTTATTTCCATTATAACTGTCAGTTTTTGTACTAACGACTTTAAAAGAAGCTGATTTTAAAGGTTTTTAAAAAGCTAGGATTAGATTTCCACTTTGTTGTTTTTCTGTTATATAATATTGAAATGTTCCAGTTCAGTTTTTGGCTTTTATTTGTTTCTTATGTTTCGTTTGTTTGATAAAACGTAACGCTTTTGAGATATTTGTGAATAAAAAAATCTATATTTTCAATTGTGAATAAGTCGAAAAATATCGATTTATCGAAAAAACTTTTTTTTCTTAGAATAATATTTCAAACTATCGATATCTTTTTTGAGTTTATTAATTTTCTCCCCCCGAGATGGGGTGACATTTACCCGCACGGTGGAAGCGCACTTCGGCATTATATTACTTTTCTTCCTTGTCATTCCTTATTTACTGCCCAAATTTCTCGTAAATCGGCTTAGTCCTAAAGAATTTGGAACCAAAAACCGTCTAACACTGGACTATAAGTATGTAGGTAACTATGATTAATTCCTAAACTTTCTGTGTTATTAATATTTTTTCTTTCTAATTTATTTCAGTTTCTGAAAATATTTGCTCAGATAATAGTGAAGAGGAAAACATTGGTATTAGTTTAAAACCGAAAAATGGACTGCCCGAGCCAACTCTGAATGCTACCTTTGATGTTCAGAGCCCAATGTATTCTAAAGTTGGAAAGTTCGATTCACTTTCTGCTCAAAATAGTGAAAATCTTAAAGATTTAGATAGCATTAGAAACAAAAAACAGAGTGATGATACTTACGATGATACAAGTTCCTTAGTAGAAGATGTAGATGTAGAGTTGACAACTCAAAATAGTAGTTCGGAAGTTCCTGAAAGGAAAGTGAATGGCATCAAAGAATCTGAAATTGTTAAAGATAAACCTAAAATGTCTCCTCCAAAGTCTGAAAAGTTAAAGTGCAAAAGTAACCTCAGTTCCCTGTCTGATCTCCCACCTCTTAATAAATCTAGAGTTAGTGATATTTTACCATCTTTGTACAATAAGGATTTCAAGGATAAGTCAAATCTTCGCGATCTAGATAAATTGTTTGATATGGATGCAGAGTTCGAAGAAGATTCTATGTACAGTAGTGATGACTTACCTTTGAAATCTGATCATAATAGTGTTAGTTTATTAGAAGAATTGCAACAATCAAACAAGAGCAACAAAGAGCAGACGGTTGTGGGAAACAAAGAAATGAAACCGAAAAATCCTAGTAGAATTATTGCCGATTGTAAATTTAAAACTGCCGTCAACACTCAAAAAAATAAACTAGTTAATGAGACACTCGAAATGAATGGTGAAAATGTGGAAAGCGCTTCTGACAGTGTTTAGTTCATTTCTTTGTTAGGACACTCGAAATGAATGGTGAAAATGTGGAAAGCGCTTCTGACAGTGTTTAGTTCATTTCTTTGTTAGAATAACTATTTCAAGGGGAGCCTAACAAATACGGAAAATTGAAATTTGATTAGTAAATGAACACTCAATTCTGCAACCTTTCAAAAGTTAATATTCCAACCCTGCGAAATTCTGAGTATTTATTTTAGTTCTGTTTTTGGAATTATTAAGGTTAACAGTATTTTATAGAGCTCGGAATTTTTCAGATTTTTGTATTCGAATATTCGTTTGAAACTTTATTCGAAGATTATTCACTATTTGAATATATCTAAGTATTTAAATATTCAAATATTCGATTATTTGAGTATTCGAATAATTTCGATTTAAAAATATCGAATTTACTTTCTGGTCAACTTGATTGGAATAATAATTATCCTTTTTTTAAATTGTACTATTCTGCCCTTCTAAGCCAAAAAGTGGTATCTAGAAGAACGATTTTTATTATTTTCGAACGCATTGGATAGCTTGAAAAATCCGCATCAGATCAACTTAGAAAAATAGTAAAATCTCACTCAAAATATTACAAAACGAACCTAAGACAAATTTACGTAACTCAACTTCACTTCTATTTACTAAAAAGCTTAGGGTTTATGCCATTATTACTAAGCTAAATGGCTGTATATAATTTAAAGTAAGTAATTCAGTAAATTATTTTTTTAGGTGAGAGGGAACGTGAAAACAACTTTTAGAAAATGTGTTTTTTCTCGAAACTCACGTCAACTAAGATACCGCTTTTTGGCATAGAAGGGCAGTATTGATTGTAATGTAATCCTTGCCACTCTGTTACAGAAGTGTTGGGGAAGTCAAGATAAAACAGAAACCTAAATACACATTTTCTCAAAAGTACATAGCAAAACAAAATTTAAGTTTTACAAATTCCACTGTCTTAAAAATAAATCTCGCAACAATGCATGCATGAATATGTACATACTCGTATTTGTTGTAATTACTCATTTATTTATTTACCCAAAAAGGCCTATAGGCCCAATTACCACTAATAACTTCAAACACATCTCCAGTCTTAACCACTTTTACCACTTTATATTTCTTACTTATTGCTATCATTACTCTTCCACCTCTTTTTTATTTGTTATATTTTTATTTCTGATCTTATTAAACTATATTTATTTAAGTCAACAATTTCTCCATCCGAAACCTCCTCTCCTAGTCATGTCTCCGACACTGCAATAACATCATATTTACGGTCTAGGACATTCGGGCGCAGGGACAATGGGGCGCGGAGATGATCGTGCGCGGCCGTTCGGACGCCGGTCTTTCGGGCGCCGGTCTTTCGGGCGCGAAATTATACATATATAAGTATAATAATCATAAATGTAATAATAAAAACAAAATATTAGATATTTTAGGTAAAAACTGAAAATTGTAATCTAGATTTTTATTTAAATAATTTTTCATGCGAAAATGGACGAACAAATATTAAAATTTTATTTACAAAAATTCTTACCCTCGGTTGCAATAAGGCTTGTTTAACTCTCAATAACTGATGTTATTAGACTGTGTAATTTGACGTTCATGTTATTAAGTCAGATCACATTCTCAAGCTCTGCGAATAATAATAAACTTTGACAGAGCTTGAGATTCTGATCTAACCTAATCACATGAACGTCTAATAAACATTAGGTATTGTAAGTTTAACAAGCCTTATTGCAACCGAGGAGAAAACTATTATTTAGGGCCTAACGCACTAAAAATTTTACAGTTTTCAAAATATTAGAGAAAAATCGATTTTTAATTTGTATCATAAACACCGTGTAACTTCTGTTTGTACTTTTGTACACAGGTAAGTAAGGTTCAATCAACCTATTTTTGACACCACTAGAATATATGGTATAATGTATAAGCAATCTTTACTAGTTTATAAATAAAATAACTATTTAAAAAAATACATTTAAAATTTTATTGCCGATATAAATATATAATTTTTAATACATAAATAAATATATTATGGATTAATCTGATAATTGTGTGCAATGCCAGATAAAAATATATTAATAATTGTATTATTACGGTTTAAATTAAATTTATTGCTTTATCAGAAACTGTTTCCCCTGTGCTCTTCATTTATTATTATAAAATATAAAATTTCGCGCCCGAACGGCTGCGCCCGATTGTCTATGAGCACAATTGTCCCCGCGCCCGTACGGCGGCGCCTGAACAGCCGCGTCCGAACGGTGGCGTCCGATTGTTCGACTCCGTCATATTTAATAGTCCTTTTAGTTAGACGGTCATATCAGTTCTCAGTTCATTTGCCGTTTCAGTTCAGTCGTATGAATATCCACATCGGATGCATCTGAGATGTGAATTTTTTATCACGTGATAATGGATTAGATCTAAATGTAGATGTAATAAACATGATAAAATGACAATGACAAGTTAGAAGTTTTTTTTTTCTTTATTGGTCTCAACTTATAAAAGTTATTTAACCAGCACTAACATTAGTTACATGTAAATAAATACAATAAAATTTAAAATACTATTTGGCTCCGTAAAATTAAAAAAAAATAAGGTGAACAATATTTTTTATAAATTAATGTTAGAAGATTTTAAAAATGACGTGATTATGGTTGTACTGCAAATTGGTTTTCGTAAATAATCATTTAGACATAAAGGGGAATACCGGGGTCGAAAAGCTAAAACCATTTTTTGGTATAAGAATTTTATATTGTCTGTATTATTACTGCATTCCATCAAGATATTACCTAAACTTCCAATTTCACCACAGCTGCAACTTGGGGAGTCAAGGATACCAATTCGGAACAGATGAGCAGAACTATAGCAGTGACCAATTCTCATTCTGCACATTGTACCGATTTGTCCCTTTGTTAATTTAATTTTTAAAAACCAGGGTGTTCGAGGCAGTTTGTTTAATATATTAAAAAGTTGCTTTCCCTTAGTTTGACTCAGTTCTCGCCATTCTTCACTCCAATCATCCCAAATTTTATTTTTAACTCTGGGTAGCATATTTCTGTAATCCATTGTTATTACGTCAGAATAATGTTTGTTAAGTCCTAATTTAGCAAGTTTATCAGCTATGACATTTCCCTTTATATTCGTATGACTAGGTATCCACGCAAAAGTAATTTGACTTTTGAGACTGGAAATCAACCTAAAATTGAAATCTAAACAAAAATTAAACACACTAATCACTTTTATAATCTATCATACACAAAGGAGATCGATAAACTTGGCTTCACAGAACACCTACTTTCTCGCATGGAACGAACATCTCATTCACATATCATTTCAAATCGAGATGTAAAAAATATAATCTGGACAGCTACATCTCGGATAAACAAACGCAGATGTAGATGTAGTAGATGTGTCTGATGTGGATAAACAAACGCTCGAGATGTAAAAAATGCATCGGATGTGGATATTCAAACGCAGCACATGTACACTTGTATTTATGATATTATGTAGTTTTGCATTCAATCCTCTGCAGTTCTGGTAGTATAATAGTATATTATGCAACGATCATGTAATGATGGTTATTAATACACGAGCATTAACCGGGATACGAAACGAGCCAAAGGCGAGTTTCGTATGGTTTATGCGAGTGTTTTAATAACCATTACATGAGAGTTGCATACGCTATTTTTTCTACACCCGATAAATAATCAAGACCTATAAATATTCTATTTATATTGGCATTGAACACAATAACAGTAATTACTCGTACTTCTATAAAAAATTCTACAAAATTGTAATTAATGGTATTACCTTGGGTATTGGTATTACCACAGATTTTTGGGGCAAAATATTTTGTACTGCATTTTCTCCTTTCTCCGATATGTGTGGAGGAGTCTTCTATATCGCTGATATCAGACATTTTAATATTATAATTATCGAAGTTTAGCTATCTACGAAAATTTAATACGTTTTGACAACTAAAACAATTACATAGGAATTTAGGACAAACGTCAAACATCATGCTTGATTGAAAAATTGTAGGTTTCTATTGATTAAAAATCTGTATCATAATGAAAAATCTGTATCATAATGGGTATCATTATGAAACGGATTATGGGCATATAAGTGCATTATTATAATACGGGTGTAGAAAAATATAATTTTTTTCATTACAATTTGACCTGATATACATTATAGTATTAACGCCAAATAAAATTTATCGAAGGTTAAAAAATAACCCTCAAAATCCTTATCGGTTCCTATCCCCAATATGCGAAAATCAAAAATAATTTTTCTACTAATTTTAATTTAGAACATTATTTAGTGAAGTTAAAAATAAAAATTATCAGTTGTTAATTAGAAAAAAAAAATTTATTTGAGATAATACAACTTAAAATAAGTCATATTTATCGAGTATAAAATAAAAAGAATGTCAATAATAGAATAAATAGTCTGTGGGCCTACTGCCAATTCTTATGGAGGTCCTACACACTCCGATATAGCCTGCATGCCAAAACCCACAGTTCTAATCTAAAGGCAAGATTTAATCAGCTTATTTCACTCTTCATCTTCACATTAGACAAAAGAGGACGAGAGGTCTGATGTGAGTCAGATCGAGCACTTCTCGTTTGAGGTATGGACTGAATCGATGGATTGTACAGTTCAAATCTCACAAAAATCATAGTTTGTAGGGCCTCCTTAAGTTTAAATCTTGACTTCATTATTCTTCTTAATATAAACACGCATTTTTTTAATCATTTGCATCCCTGGCCAGCTTAATTAATTTGTTTCGCCTTCCAGTCAGATCCTCATTAATAAAAATTCTTCAACATCTTAGTAATTTTCATATTCACTAAATTTTTTATCCCAGGTAGTGGAATTTGTGCAACTAAAATGGACTTATGAGAAAAGTAGTATTTAAGTTTTTGTTTTCTTTCGACCTCCTCAACACGTCTGTAAAATAGAATGGATTATCAGGCCTACAATATGAAAACGAGAAATATAAAAATATACCAGGTGACAGTGAGACTAGGGCCCAAGAGTAGACCTAGGTATACATTAATATTTTTTTTTTAGGTATCAAGCGATTTGGATCTAATTTGAAAGAAACATACTAGACATAATTTCCAATAATGACATTCATACACAAAATG